AAATTTGCAAACTTAAAACAACGAAATCTGCCAGTTACACACACATACACACACAGAACAGTTAACAAGATCCTCTCTCAGAATAAGAAGTCAGAAAACAAGAAAACCCTCAGTTACCATGGTGATGAGACAACAATAATCATCAGAAGGAAATTACTACAGCCTACCAATCACAGGCAAGACGATTTTAGAACATTTGGTGTAAATAAATCGTTTGGAATTTGAACAGAAGTTAATTGGCCACCACCCCAGCTTAACCACTTAACTCCATCAACTAATACTCACTCACGATAACAAGAATGTTATTGACAGACCTGTTACAAAACCAAAATAAATAGATTAACACTTCTGGACTTAACCTAAGAGCATATTTGAACTGATTGAAAACAACTGTTATGAAGTACAAGGATGATTATGTAAGCTGCCTAGGTTCTATCAAATGTCAATTTTAAAAATATATACACCAGGCGGACCTGTGGATTAGACAAGCCTATTTTAATAGATTACGCCAGGCCTGAAGAGAATGCTTTGCCAAAACAGTTACTTTATAGTGTCACCTTGCGGTAAGGTTGAAATGATTTCACTATTAAATATTAGAGGCATATATACTGGAAACAAACTAAGAAATGATAATATCAAATGACAGTTATAATGAAAATTTAAATAAAAACAAACTAATGGAATTTGTAATCCAAAAAAACCCTACAAATAAAGGTCAGAATAGTAAAGACAACAACACATACACAGAATTAAATATTTTCTATAGTTTAGTTTGTAAGGGTTTGTTATGTTTTTACGAGTTGATCACGGACTGATATCAGTTAGAGAACCATTGAAAACCAGGGAGTACTGGACAGCTGCTGTTTCATCCTAGTTTGGGAATCATCGGCAGTACGCACCCACCACAGGGGGGTTCAAACCCAGGACCTTCCAGTTACAAGGCTAGCGAGCTCGAATACCATTCAGCGACTGGGACCCGATTCAATGGCCAGTCCATCAATTCTAACTTCTACCAATTCGTGATTTAGCGCGACCCCAACCATTGTCGTTGGTGGGACATCCATCCACACACGTGACATCTAATTGAACCTCACTGGTCACGACTTCTCACTAGAACTCCAGGAAACTCCTGGTTCTCTAACTGATATCAGTCCGTGATCAACTCGTAAAAATATTAAATATTTGGAAAAAAGTATAAACGCTAATTGAAATGATAAAGCGGTGAGTTTTGTATAGTAAAAGTAGTCCAAAACAAATTATATGAGTTCAATAAAATCTAAAACTTTGTTAAACACCACACCTATGAATGGAAATTTACAAATCTATTGGGGGAGATAATTAAGTTACACACAAGCAAGCATATCAAATTGGAGAAACAAGGATAAACAAAAAAGGCAAAAAGGATGCGGTCAAGCTGTCGGAAACCAGAAGAAACAATGACAAAAGATAAATCTTAAGAAGATGCATAGTGACACGATTAAGATCAAGGCATAGTGTGTGTGATTACAACCGATTTTGAGCAATATCACTTAGTATCTTTAACAAACTGACATATCTAAACCAGACAACCTGTACTCCCCCCTACAAGAGCCAGACCTCTAGATTTTTTTCACTAAGAATCACTCCTTCATAAAACTTGCAATTAGTTATGAAGAGGTATAACATTATCTGATAGCCAATGTGGAGTTTGAACTCAACCCATGCTGTTTTGAAAATTGAGCAGTTAAACAGACGAGTGAGGGCAAGTACCATGTTTAACATGGAAACAGCTGAGTTTCCTTTAACCGAATCCTATCTTGGATAACATTGAAGATTGAGGATAAGTGAAATGATTGTCGAAAGATAGCTGGAAGGAATGACTTAAAACGCCTTGGATGTATGTATTTGCAGATTATCGATAATAGCCAAAATATGAAATGATATTGTATCTTTCTTCATAATATTGAATACGTTTACTCTACAGTAGTTGGAATGAATGTAAATAAAGCATTATTCGGCCACTGAAAACTTTACAGCTAAATTATTTTAATCAACATTTTTGAACGGTAGTTTAAGTGCACACAAAAGGATCAACGATATCACATTATGGTGAGAGCTGGCTGCTAGCAAAAATTGGTAGATAGTAATTTACGTCAATGTGTACGTCCCCAATATTAGTCATGAGAAAAATAAGAACAAAGACTGATTCAACAACCAGTCACAGCAGACTTTGCGTAGGTGGATACAATTTGCACATAGATAATCTGAACTTCAAGAAACGGCCACAAAGAGATGAAAGATTAACGTTCAACGAGAAACCCCCAATCAGAAGACTGTGTTTGTTTACTTACAATAATCTATAATAATGTACATGAAAATTTATAAATATCTGTTGATTTCCTAAATAAACGATCTGTTGCCTGGCCCTTATCTTCTGTTGTCACAACATAATAGCTTCATAGAAAAATGAAAAAACCTTGTAGCCATAAAAGCTAAATGAATTGCTGGTGTTACAGTCCTCTGATGACGATTTGTGTAATTATTCAATCGGATAACTGACATCATAAAACATCGAACAACTACCCAAAAGACACAGGAAAAAAACAAGCAACCCTAAAGGTTCTTAGTGCATTGTTAGTTAAGTCGTAGAATGCCTGTCGACCACTCATGTATTGCGGGCTCGATTCCAGACTGACACACTCCTAAACCTTGCCTAGTTCACCAGTCAACAGCTAGCCCGGAAAAGAGAGAAGATTGGGGTTGAGGCTAGTAACCCTACTCCGGGAAAACACAACCACTGCTACAGAAACCTCAAAGCTTGAAGCCGTATGTTTCACTAGAAATGCAAAAGTATGAAAAAAAGGTTTTTAAGGTTCATTTTATTACGAATAAATTCCTAAAAAAAACTTGCAACTAAGTCCTATATGGAACAGAAAACATATCAGAAACACTATATAAACATTGCAAACACTTATTACCAGAAAGTTAGCCTTAAGTACTTTAGTTCCAAGTCATTTCATATTATGAGACCGTTTTTCAATGACAAGAGAAATGTATTCCTCGAATTGTCAGCGTTCATCAGTGTTAAAAGTTCAAACAGAAAGTCACTTCTCGAAGATATGCTCCTGTTTAGCTCCACAACACACAAGAACTGATTGCATCAATACGATTAAGTTTATGGTGCTTTAATACATTCATTCCTCTTGTCATCCAAAATGCAGTCCCAGTCTGCTAATCTCAAACATCTTGACAGCCTTAAGCAGATAGTAGCACAGGAAAGAGATTTCCGACTGATCTCAATAAGTATGCATTCAATTATTCTTCCATCGCTCTTTTTGAATTTCATATTATAATTAAGGATGATTCAGGTTATGCGGTATAACTATCCATTACGGGTCTTCTTAATACAATGGACTGCGGGCCACATATGACATATGAAACGATAACCAAGGAGGAGTCTGAACTTAACGCACACTGTTTGAAAACTGAATAGTTAGTTAAGCAAGCAGGTGATACATAGATTTGATGTGCTAACACAACAGACTAAGTAAAATTCGAATCATGAATAAACTACATATTTAACAGAAATTGTAAACATATTGTTTTTTTGGAAATAAAAGTAGCAACTCTGAAGAAAGTTAATTAAAATTGAGGATATTTTGATAATTGTTCTAATTCAGTAACTAGTTCTACATCTCTTGCTTCCCCGAAAATCAGTCCAGTTTTATCACATATTTTGATAAATTAGTGAGTCTGAATAAGGTATTAAGAAGACAAATTTCGCGAGATGATATCGTCATTTCGTAGTTTCTTTACAACCGCCTTACAACTAACATGGTTAAAAATAATAAAATAAAATGCATGACAATTACTCAGTTAAATAAAAAAAACCAAAAGTACATACTAATGACCAATCATATTTAGATAGGAGAGATGATGGAACGATTCAACGATCTATTTTTCGTAAACAGACATGGAGTGGACAATATCTTCATTTTACCAGTTTTGTTCCTATCCAGTATAAACGTTCCCTAGTGAAATGTTTGTTCTCAAGGGCCCGAAAAATATGCACGAGTGACACATTGATGGATGAGTTTCGAAATATACATTCAGTTTTATTAGCTAATGGTTATCCGGAGAACTTTATCACTTGTCACAGTAAAGAAAAACCACATCTCGAAAAGACAGCTTCTGTACCAAAGAAAGCTATCTTTATTAACCTATCATTCAAGAACGACCAGATTATGCAGTTGACAACTGAAAGACTTCGGTCAGCTATCAAACGTACATTCTACGCCGCATCTCTTTTTCTCATTTGCCGAACATTTTCGATCCCTGTACCTATGATTAAAGGACGAAATTCTGTGGACTCTACTCCAAACTGTATCTACAAGTTCACCTGCAGCTGCCGTGACACCTATATAGGTAGAATCAACAGAATGTTCCAATGTCGTCGAAAAGAACATGTTCCAAAATGGTTACTAAATCATATACAAAATCCCAAAGCGATTAATCTGAATAGAAATCCAGTATCATCCATTGCAAAACACTTATTAATGTCAGGTCACAAAATCAATATTAATGACTGTTTCACAATTATCTCATCACATAACTCTAATTCAAGGTTATTGAAGGTGATGGAAGCAGTTTGGATTAATCACATACAGCCTAAACTGTGTGTACAAAAAACAATAGACTTCAACCTTCGCCTACGATAGACTACTTGACCTATTTAAATATGATTGGTCACTAGTATGTACTTTTATGTTTTTTATTTAACTGAGTAAGTGTCATGATCTTTATTATATAGCGGTTGTAAAGAAACTACGAAATGACGATATCATCTCGCGAAATTTGTCTTCTAAATGCCTTATTCAAATTTATCAAAGGGACTAACTGTTTTAAATTAGGCAGTGTTTGAAAATATATATTCAAAAGACAAACATGAACTCAAAAAAGAAACTAGACATGTTTGGGATGAAATATAAAACACTTTATATTCAATTTTTTTCGTAACTAACCTGAGTAAGTCTAATAGCATTGATTTTACCAGAATCTGACAAATGAAAGGTAGCTCTAAAATTATGCCATCTACAAAATAAAAATAAAGGTAAGAAAGAATATCATAAGAGGGGGGGGAGAAGAAGAGAAGCAAACGTTCACATATTACTCGGATAAAATGTCGGTTTGTTTAAGATCGATTACTTAGGACAGATTTTGCGTGTACCAGGTTAAAAACTACACTTATCGTGGGATGGCTGACGATGGTACTACCCAGCAGGAATGGGGCTGGAACCCATGACCCATCAACTAAAAACTGAGTGCTTCAGCCCATGAGTCACAACCTCCACATTAAATGTAAAACTAAATTATTGTAGATATTCAAAAGTTAAGTGTTAAAAGATTTCATTGATTTTGGGTTAGATTCCATCATGAAAATCGTTGAAGTTGAAAAGAGAAACAGATGTTCAGTTTTCTGTTGATTTCCAGTGGTTCTTAAACAGCTGTCACTTCATGATGCAAACTTGATGAATAGGACTAAGATAATTATGACCGACCAGAATGAACTGAACAAACGATCTGTCCTCATTTCATAACCTCCCACCCACTAAAATTAAATTTAGACACTTAAACCATCATTCAGTCATCGGTATGTTCTCCTGTCAAAATTTAACGGTCAGTAACACGCAACTGTTACTGTATAACATTCCCGAACATTTGTCCTACTTATGGTTGAATAGACTAAACAATGTTAAAATGGTTCGTATGGCTGATGTGAATAAAAATAAAAACGATTAAATTCCACTTATAAAAAGCTAATTTACAATAGATTAGTACAGAACAAAAAATAGTTAATTTTTTATAAACGATCACACCATTTGGATAAGCAGAATTTGCTCAAAGGTTGAAGTTTTTATAGATAAATCCACCAAGAAAATGTTCCTATGAACTTTTCTACAGGATGAGAAAGTGGTCACAATGGTTTACACAACAGAATATCACTTTAGGCCGAATTGTTTCACTCCAACAGTGTCTTTCAGTCTCCCAAGTGGAAACATATTTAAGACATTTTCATCTATCTGTCAATATTATCAAATGACTTTAAAGCGGTGTCGATGATTCAGTGGTACAATGGGGCGGATTCGGTTCCCCATTGACGTACACTCCTAATCCTCACCTGGTTTTCTAACCGGCAGTAAGCCCAGAAAAGTGGAAAGGTTAAGCGTGCGGTTAGCAGTTCTACCCCCATACATAAAACATCACCGTTACTGAAACTTCAAGGATTGAAGTCCCATATTCGTTCCATCAACACCAATAACAACAACTGACAACAATCAGCATAAATGGGAGGAACCTGAAAGAAACAACCTCCTTTACCTACCTGGGAAGCATCGTTTCAACTACAGGAAGACGGAACTGACGAGGATATCAAAGCAAGGATCGGAAAAGCAAGACAAGCTTTCATTACTCTCAAGTCTGTGTGGAGGAGATCAACAGCATGAAAATGAAAATAAGATCCGGATTTTCAACTCCGATGTGAAGTCAGTGCTACTATACGGATCAGAGACTTGCACTGCGCGTCATAAAGAGCATCTCAAACAAACTGCAGACATTCATTAACAGTTGTCTTCGCTCAATGCCACTCAAGATCAGATGGCCGGCCAGAAAAGATCAGCAACAGAGATCTCTGGGAGCGAACCAATCCAGCAGGAACTGATTGTGAAACAAATAGGTAGGAAGAAATGGAGATGGATTGGCCATACTCTGAGGAAACCATCAAGTGACATCACTAGACAAGCCATCGCTCGAGTGGAACCCGAAAGGGAAGCGGCGAGTTGGTCGTCAGTGCAAGGGTGACTTGGAGGAGGTGATGTGAAGAGGAGATGAAAGCGTGTGGGCAGACTTGGAGCCAGGTGAAAACTGTAGCAGAGAACCGAAGGCAATGGAGACGCACTGCTGAAGCCCTATGTTCCTCTAGGAATTAAAGGCTACAATAATATAATAATAATTCGTTCCACTTACAAAGTAAAGGACTGAGAAAAAAACAACTTTCACACACTTGAAACTGAGATAACTTACTGAGCCCGTTGTTCTAATCTTTCAATTAATTTCTCTGGCGGTAGACTAGATTCTTCTTTAGACGGAGCAGGTAAAAGGACTATACGAAAACAAACTTCAACTTCCCATTTCTCTGTATCAGACAGGATACTGGTTAGTTCAAGTCGACGATCATAGGAACGTGCAGAAAAATAGGCTCGACTAGCTACCACTAGAGTACGAATCCATGATCTTCCTCTGTGATGATAAATAAAGAAAACAAAAAATCAATCTTAGAGAATTTAAAATACCTGAATTTACGAACTTTTTATGACTAACACATAATGGGGTAAAGAAATTTTGTTCACATGAAGAAGTTTTCACACAATAAACAATCAACTGAGTTCAAAATTGCTTCAAGATAGACTACATAATGGTTTGTGAAAATGACTGAATAATAGTAATAGAATTATAAGTACCAAAATCCAGCATCAACAACTCTCAGTATGAATAATTAATAGAGAATAAAATAGTGGGCTATTTGCTTAGAAACAAAATAGCATTATTGTAACTACAGAAGATAAGGGCCAGGCAACAGATCGTTTATTGAGAAAATCAACAGATGTTTATAGATTTTTACGCACTTTTTTATTAGCGTTATTGTTAGCAGAGAAGCAACGTCTTTTGATTGGTTGTTTTCTTGCGCAAGGCTATTCTTTACTGCTTACGGCCGTTTCTTAGAAAGTCAGGCCATATATCTGTGAATCGAGTTTGCACACGTTAAGTCCGTTGTGATTCGTTGGTGAGTTCCTCAAGGTTAAGCTTTGTTATTGCGTTTTTTTTCATGACCCCGATTGGGGACGTAAAATTGACGTGAATTGTTGTCTACAGGTTTCGGCTTGCGGCTAGCTCTCATCACATTATGACTGATCAAGTATACAATTAGATTAACAAGCAAATATATTAGTAATTAAGTAACAAGAATTTTTCTTGAACTCCATCCAATTTTAGTTCTGTAATTAACTCCCAATCTGTAGTTGGACGTTTGTTTTGCCTAAATGTGGATTGGTTGGTTACATATATCAATTGTGGTGATTGCAGTTTTGAATTCGACACCTGTGATGAAACCTATTGGTGGCTTGCTTAAATATCACTAGTTTACCTAAATTTTATAATCACTTAAACGTATTGTGTTTACTCTGCTTCATATAGGTTTAATCATTGGAAGACATGAAAAGATTAGCTGTCGTTGATCATAGATGTCTGCGTTCTATCTTCCGTGTGAAATGGTATAATAAGGTGAGCAATATTGAGGTTAGGCCTCAGTCGAGTGCTAGGTAACGAGGGTAAATCAATCGACGAGACTGTGAAATTACATCGACTGAGATGGTTAGGACATGTGTTATGCATGCATGCCTAGTCATCGCCTTCCTCGTCGGGTAATGTTAGCTGATATAGGGTCAGGCTGGAAAACAGCTAGCGGCGGTCAAACGAAAACATGGCCCCATCAGTCAATGAAATCTACAACAGTTAGTCTAAGCCACGTAGGGAGATGTAGACTTCCTGGTTGGGGTCCTCGGGATGACGGTAAAAACCAATGGTTGGAAACAATTGCTGACATGGCTCAAAATCGTTCTCAATGGCTGGCGCAGATGCATAAATCCTTGTGACTTATGATTTCCAATTAAACTGTTTTGTTCTTCGTTATTACTATCCCTTTGTCTCACACCTCTGTTTACTGTCTATATTATGCATTTCTCCCACTTTCTTCTCTTGCTTTGTGTGCTACATGAAGGGAGTGTGGCGACTTGAACTGGCGCAAATATGTGCAAAGTTCTATGTCGAAAACAGACAGACAGACAGTTTTAACCATACAATTACGTCTGAGAATCCCAATGTACACCGAGGCCTGTTTTCAAAAAGGTCTCAATCTATTGGCAGGAATTTTCTGACAGGAATGAAGGAGAAACATTGTGGATTATTGGATAATGCGTCGGATAAAACCATATCCCTTCAGTTGATATATTATCGTCTATAATATTACTTGAAGATTCTGTACAAGGAGTAAATGTCTTGTGATAAGAAACTTGCTGAAAATTCTGTATTGTGTACAAAAGCATTTTTCAGAATAAGGCTATCATTATTATGAGTAGTATTAGTATTAAACTTCAAAAGTGACTGCTGATTTTACATTGTACGTTTTAACAAATCTTAACATTTGGGTACATTGAAAAACGTTAAGAACCGGTAAGATTTATGCGTGGGCCATTGCAGTCAGATCGAATGTGCATCAACATGGTGATATGCGAAGCTATAACAACGTCCTAGAAAACATTCTGCTAATTACGCTTTCTTTTAACAACCAGGCAACTGAAAAAATAGCCAAAGTTAAACTATCACAGCCAAAATCACAATGACCTTGAACAACCAATCAGAATTCAGGTGCACAAAATCGTTAAAAAAAGTATTAAAAACATTGCAAACACGATATATTACACTGGATAATGTATTGTAAGAATGTCTCCCAGTTACTTCAAGGACAGTTGTATTACATGCTGAAAATTCTATATTTGTACCAAACGTACTGTTTGGAATAAAGCTATTTATTATCATTATTAATCCATAAAGAAATCATACCATGCACAATAGGTATATTCATCCAGGCGGCTGGAGACCACTGTAATTTGAAATCCAATGGTATTCCTGAGATTGTTCTTTAACCTACCCCTAACCGTAACCCTAGCCAGCAGTATAGATTTACAGAAAACAGTACCTGGGGAATAAGTAGAATATAGTAACTACCGCAAACTAAATCTTTAAAAGTAGGTTTGGTTTGCTTTCGAATGACATTTCGTAGCGTTCCCCAAGTCTGATTGATTTTTGAAGGCCAACTTATAACAGACCTTGGACTTTGGTTATGATAGTCTGACTTCAGCTTGAAAGGTATTCATATTTATAATGATTGGAGAAGAAGAAGAAGAAGAAGAAGAAGGAAGAAAAGAGACAGGAAAGTGATAAAACCGATTTGATTGTACCATTAAAATCTAATGTTTTTGTCATTTGACTGTATTTCACTGTATTTTTCTTCTAAAATTAAACATTTTTCCGAAGAACATAGTTATGGTTTAATCTACCTACAGATTACCTATTCATCACAGATATTATCAATGAATTAGTTTGAGCTAAGGTAGAGATAAAGTGCAAATGTACTGCAACAGTACAATTGCAATACATACAAAACAAGTAATCTTTACAACAAAGAAGCAGTAGAATGAGTGTGATGAAATTTCCAATCTGGGTTGTTTATACATATACGGAGAGAAGAACAAAGACATAAGGATAGACCTGTGCTCTGACCGTCTACACAAAAGTAATTAAACATATCACATGACAGTCCGATAGTTGAATTGAAATTTCATTGGTAGACAGCCGGACTAGTTATTCATCGTAGTGGACAATTTCTATCAATAAAATCACATGTTTTGGCATTAAGAACAAGCTGTGTACAATATCAGCTAGTCAACTCACTTATGAACTAACATATCCATCCTGATTTTATTGCCCCCCCCCCCCGAAATCCAGTCGGACGATGTATGACTGTAGACCTCAAAAGCTGAAAGTTTATTTGCATGTGGCTTGTTTTACAAACGGGAATGATTTGCTATTGGCACTATTATGATATGAAGTATTTCCTTTCCGACCAACCGGTACCTCGATGGGTTGAGTGAATGAATCATGACCACCTACCTCATAAGCACGGTTGTTCTGTATTTTCCAAAGTCCAACCAATTGGTGGCATTTAACAATAAGGTTAAAATTTAAACACAATAGTATAGAAAAATTAGTTTTTGTAAGAAAGGTTCATAAACTTATTAGTTAACTCTCCGTGGACACATTTAAAACTAATACCTAGGTTATTCTAACTAACATTCTTATTGGTTACTCCGTCACTACACTTTATCATTTCTCTTCTTCTTAACAAATGAACACAAATGAACAGAACAAGCCTAATCTGTCTGTAATTTTCCAACGTAGAGCTGTGCACCGATGTGCAGCAGTTCAAGTCGCCACACTACATGTAGCATGCAAAGCAAGAGGAGAAAGTAAAAAGGAATGCAAAATAGAGACAGTAAACAGAGATATGAGACAAAAAGAATAGTAATATGAAAGAACTATGTAGTTTTATTGGATATTATAAGTCACAAGGAGTGGATGCATCCGCGCCATTGACAAAGATTTTGAGATATATCACCAATTGTCCAGAGGACCCCAACCAGTCAGTCAGGGAGCCTACACCCTCCTACGTGGCTGGCTGGCTGGCTTAAACTAACTGTTGTGACTTTACCGACTGGTGCCTAAAGTAGTTACTTACTTCTAAAGGATGGGAAACTTATCCCAAACAAACTAAATGAAGAGCTCAAAGGAATCTGGCTGTGAGTCTTAGGTATACTGAAGTCTCACTAGTGAAGAGATAGAACTATGAAATTAAGAAGCATTTTTCAAATCAGTGTCACGAATCTTAGTAAAATGAAAATTGAATATTCTTGACAAACAGCACTTAACGTAAAACAGCAACACAAAGTAGGCTGATAAGCTTAGTGCTAAGCACATCTACGAGACTCAGAATAAAATGGACTCACTAAAGGAAAATATTCACCGTCTTTTTCAGAAAGAAGTACCACAACTGGTTAAATCAAATATTACTAATATTCTTTTGCTACACACTACTATTCATTATTATTGGAATTGATTCTATAATAACGGTTATATTTCTTTGATTCAATATGCAATATGTTTTCATGCATTGAGTAATTTGACAGAGACTGCTGACACCATTCTCAAACTGGAGCAAATTTCCATACTCCGTAATCACCAGACACCATGTACGTGTGGGATATTTTATTGACATGTTTAAATCCTCTAAAATAATGACCTCCGGATACCTGGATCACAACACTTTGCTTAAATATCTGAAATAAGACGGTTTCCACTGGGATTGTGTATACAGAAGGAGATTGTGACGAATCCCTGACTCCCTTAGTAAAATGTTTTCCCTTGATGAACTTGAAGAGAGGGACAAATTGAGCAATGCAATATGGTATCATTTTGTTTCTTTGATCCTTGTCAATCGCATACAACTTAAAAACAACTGTAATATCAATGTTCAAAATATTCATGTGTTCTAATTATTTAGCACGGATGTCAAGGTCGTCAATAATGTATAAGTGAATGGCAGAATGGAAATGATAACTTGGGTTAGTTAGCTTCTCATCATATATAAAAAATACGAACGGAAGTTGAAAATAATTCAGATGTGTTAAAATTGGCAACACATGTTACGTAAACTTCAGATACTTCGGTTGGGTAGCGCTCAAAATGTTAGGTTAAAAGTAAACATAAAGACAAAAAAGGATATGGAATCACTTTGTCAAAACTAAACATCATTTAGATAAGAAAATGAAAACAATTTTTTAACCATGTTAGTGCAATATTAACAACAGTTTCCTGCTGAGTGCAAAATTCCGGTTTTATACCATGTCAGCTATATCATTTTATTTTATCTTCGTAGAGTTAATTGTACACTCCGTCATTTTACTGATTTCACCTCAAAAAGCTGATTTTAAACTTGCAGAGTACAATTCCTCAGGTTTTAAAACAAGCAATAAGCGTTAATAAAGCAGGATTTAATGAATTCATCAAATTTCCGTAGAACTCATCAGCTGAATACTCTACATACACGGATATATATCCTTTTGAAATTACATTGACAGATATAAGACTGATAAGTAAATAAACTACAGTGAATTAGTCATGCAGAAAGTCAGGTGCGAATTTTTTCCAGGTCATGTTCAAATAGATAAGGGGAGAGAGAGTATGAGAGATTAAAATTAAGATAAAATGCATTACGCTTCAATTACATCACTTAGATAAACAATTAGTCATTAGAGAATATAACAAGAATTGCACAGAGTAATATCAGTAGTAATAGTTATGATAACAGTAATTATAATAATTTTGAAGTGAGTTAAGATAATGCTACTGATAAAAGATAGTTTTAAATGAATCAAGAATAATAGTAATAATAATAATGAGGTAGAATAAAAAGTAAAACGTATTACCATGGTAGTTTCAGAGTTACGACCATCTCCTTTTGTACACAGAGGCCTGGTTTCACGTAACTATACAGGTTAGTAATAACGTTGCTTCTCCTATTTTTCTTTAACTTTACCCTCTCCTCCTTTTTACATCTTCTGCGATTTCAACTTCGTAATTCACATAGTGATGATGACCAGGGCTAGAAATTGCGATGTCCACCTTTTTTCAATATTCTGGGGTTTGGGATTTCTTAACTGCTACCACGTTAGCATTCAAATCTTTTCCCATTTTTTTATAACCACTATAATCTCAGACAGTGTGTAACTAATGAAAACCAGTGAAATAAAATGTTGTTTTCGTGTTTCAGATTTGATCTCTCTCTGTTCAACCAAAATTCATCAACGGAACTGAATGTATGAAATATAAGTTGGTTCAAGTTGTACATATTACACTTTGCACAAAAAGAGGAAATCGACGAAATGACTGACAGTAAAGTGAACCAGAAGATGAGACGAAAGATAATCAATACATAAATAAAAACCAACAGGTTACTCAAAACTTGGATGATGAAAGTGAACAGATCTTTAATTGATCCTTATCTATGAATGTTTAACATTTGGTTGAGCTATTCAAACACCATCTGAAAATAATGACTGTTTGTGGGAAAAAGTTTCTAAAACTGTGAGGAAAAGCAGTTGATATTCACCATTTACTTACCTTAAAAATTAATGGTAAGTAAAGTGAAATAAGTTTGTGATATGGTCGCTTTATTCTGAATAATCAGATAAAGGGTTGTGACTGAGCTATCATTAGCATAAAAGTCGCAACAAATTATAAAACTAGGGAGGAATAAAAAAGGAAGATGACCGAAAAAAATATGAATCAACCCCCAGAGAAAAAAATTTACTACATTTTAAAAACAGAAAAAAAAGGAAGATATCACAGTTTGAAATAATCTCAAATCTCGTAATCTGAAGATCCTGAGTATGCTTACTGGAAGGTCTCAAGCTAGAACGAAATGACTATCCCATGCTCCCTGGTTAATATTCATCAGTCGTCAGTTAATATTCACCATCATCACTAATGTCCTTTCATTACAAAAGTCACCAAAAAATCTATCAAATGCCCATAAATCCAATATTTGAAAGCCAAGCTATGAGGCCAGGTCGCGAATCCTTACAAACCTAGATGTATGTGACAAAGCAGTATCTAGAATATTGTGAAAAAATAAACTATCATGACTAACTGAAAATCGTACTTCTCAACACTGAATAGCCGCCTTCATTCTCCTACATTTACCGTAAGACGCTGGTTATTCCTAATGTATATCCCGATCATCTCAAGTACTGTAACCTCAGAACACGAATGAATTGTCCCTTCAATCTAAATTCTGCTATTTTAACTCAGTAGTAAGCTGTATATTTTTCAACACACGCAGGAGACATATGACAAAAATCACTGAAAACAATGAAACATTAGATAACATGCTCCAAAGGCAAAAATATAAAATCCTCTTCCTTAAACTAAAACTAGTAAACATGAAGAAGCAGTATACTTACTTTAGTTGATGGACTGAACCATTTTTTCTCTGATAATACACAACAGTGTCAGGATCAAGTAAATTTTTTGGGACTTCATCGAAAAAGCCTTTTTCAAAGAAAAGGGGCAATTCATCCTCTATTTCTTGATTTAACTTCACTAATCGATCCATTTTTGCTTCATTAGAAGGTTTATTAGACGCGTAGTTTTTATCATCACTGAATAAGAGGATAAGGTCTTCAAAAATGGGATGTACAGTTGCCTTTTGTATATGCTTATTTTCAATTAAGGTGATACTACTAGGTCGACTTTGAGATACGTAATTATGATATAAAATTCCGGAAGATAAACAACCAAGAAGTATTGGGTACTTCCTTAATTTCTGTAGTGAATCTAATTCTCTGAGTGCATCTCGCGAATTACGTCGAAATGGAATTAACCAACGAAACATGATCGGATCACACCTTAAAAAATAAGTAAGAAGTACAAAAAAAGTAATATGTATAAAGTCAGAGATTACTTTAATAATTTGAGGTGCGTAAATCTGTGAAAAATAAATCTTTAACTTTCAAAAAGAAAATTTACTCGCTCAGATGTTATGTTAGTCATAAAATCTGGGGTACGAAAAGTAAGTCGAGAAAGTTATAAGTCTCTACCTGACATGACGAAGTCATTATCACCCTTTGTTTACGTACTACGTTTGCAGAAAATTAATTTGAAGCAAACCGAAGTGACTAGACCAAAACTTAGTACCTATCCATCAAGGAAGAGTGATAGAGAAAGGCGCATGTTGTTTGATTGAGGTCCATATGAAAACCAATATCCATGACCATAATTGTCGACAGTCCAGACCCTGGACTTGTAAGGGATCATATTTGTGTACGTGCACCTGTAGCACCCCTATATTAAACCTAACTGTACGCTTATAAAACTAATTCATGTACAGAAGTTATACGCTTACAGAAACTGATTTTACTTATGTTTGTTGAATAACTACTATTGTATTATTGAATACTGCTTATATATATATATATATTACGCGGTTATGCACTTTTTTGTTCAAATTGCGCTTTTTAAAATTCGATTTCGTTAACAACACATCTTTTCAAGTTTTCCCTTGTGCTTCTTAATACAACGTTGTTCGTCGTTGACCGTATACAGCGTTAGCATGTAGTAGAACGTGAAAACATGGATGTACTATAGCATTATAACAGGAATCATTTTTAGTACGCTACACACTAATGCTCGTTCTAACTGTATTGTCTACTCACTTCGTTTACCCTTGTTTTGGCCTTTGCCGCCATTTTACTGTATTCTTTACCACTACTTATTTAATGTACAGACAGGTGGAAACAGTATCTCAAAATAGGAATTTACAATTATTATGTCTTTAGTTGTCACTGAATGTCACTTAATTTAGCAGGTTCAGTGGCTTTGCTGAATATGTTTGACTTATGCTACTTGCTTTACAAAACAAAAGTGATTTCTTATTTGTGCTTTAACGCTTCACATAAAAATTTCAAAGAAAAACTCATGTTTAACTAAGTGTCACACCACAATATTAACGGGATATTTGAACACAAGAAAGGCATATACTACTCATTTCGAAAAGCACCTGAGAAATTTAAAGATGTAAGTTACAGTTAATTAAAACGCAGTTACACATTGAATAAAATTCACCAGTTATTAGTCTGACTCATTACTTACGAAATGTACAGGGAAATCAATGCGACCTGATGACCTTCACTCAAGGCTTTTCAAGGAGCTGGCAGCTTACATATCCGGCCCATTGACTAGGACTTTCAGGCTATCTCTCTCAAATGGAGTGTTACCGTGAGACTGGAAACACGCCCCCATCCACAAGGGAGGAATCAGACAGTCCCAAATACCTTTAGTCTTACCAGCCCCTTGATCGAAATAATGGAAAGCATAATCGAGAAAGTGCGTCAGTGGCATAGCGGTTAGGACGCTCGCCGACCATGCACATGGTCCGGGGTTCGATCCCCGGCAGGCGCACTCCTTTGCCTCGCTAAGCCAGAAATAATGCTGGTGAAGAGGAAAGGTTGGGCATGAGGCTAGCAACCACATCCTGTTAAATAAACTCTGCTACAGAAACATCAAGCCACTAGCTTGAAGCCCTATGTTCCACTGGGCAACGTGAAGGGAAAAAAATAATCGAGAAAGCTATCATGAAATATCTGGAAGAAAACAACTTTCGTGCATGACAAACCTTCCTACAGCAAGGGAAGGCTGGGTCAATTCCAGGAACAACGACAAAACCACTGACATTGTTTACATAGATTTCAGCAACGCCTTTGATAGTGTCTCGCACAAAACTGCTCATTAAATTGGAAAGTGTTGGGATCAAGGGCGGCTTGCTAAACTTGATTGGGAATTTTTCCATAGATGAGCGACATAGTCAGGATCAAATCAAGACTCTCCTCCTGGACAATGGAACCTAGTGGAGAACCACAAGGCACCGTTCGAGGTCACCTCTTATTTATCTTGTAAAATTACTAGTAAGATGTTTACTACTTTATATACATCTCTGGTAGGGTCAAAACTATAAAAGTGCATCCAGTCTTTGTCTTCAAGGAAACTCATACATTCTAGGAAGGGTTCAAAAGAAAGCCAAAAGCATGATTCTCTGTGTGACTAATTTATCCCATAAGAAAAGGCTTGACAGTTTGGATCTCACTATCATATAGTAGGCACACAGATTTCATAACAATGTTCAAAATTCTTAGGAATAACTGTGGAACTGAGCTATCTCCTGTTTTCCTTCCCACTAGGTCAGAAGATCTCGAAGGACATAGCAGGACAGTTCAAAAGACAGGGAAGAACTACATCGCTGTGGACTACTGATTTCCCCACCAAGCCATAAATTTTTGGGACTAACTTCAGGAAGAAGTGCTTTCTGTGGCCTAATGTGACTGGTTCAAGATGAGATTAAACGAGCACAGATACTTATATGTAAGGGATTAATGTATGCTTGAAGCCTTTTATCCTTAATCGAAAAATCCGAAATATGAATCATTAGTTGATACCTCATGATTTCTTTGTTCACTGTATACTAATAGCAGTTCAACTGAAATAAACGACGACATGAAAGGCAGAGTACATCGAAAATAGGTTCCAGAATTTCTTTGATGAAACAAGTTGCCAAACCTCATTGGCACACCAATTAAGTAACGAAATAAAGGGAGATTTACAATTGCGAAAAATGGAACATAAGTCAAGGACTCTGGATATTTATATACGCTTGGCAATAAACAGAAACTTTTTCATGAAGGCTGAAGGTAATATCTAACTACATACTTAGGGCGGAATTCTAACCCACGATCTAGTCATAGCACTATAGTAACGAGACAACAGTAAACAAATTTATGAGAAGCAATATAATCAAGAGAAAATTAACAAGTAATCAAATCAGATTTTCATACATCTGAGTTTTCCTGATGATAAAAGATAAGTGAGAAGGTTCCTTAGTCTCAAAATGTATTTTTATCAGGCGGAGGAGCATATAATTTTTTTTTTATTACAGCTTGATTCCACACCGTATTTTTTGGTACAGGTATGGAATTTTTAGCATGTGATATCGGTAGCCCAAATTTTGCAGGCCGACCATAGATATCAGGTGTGCGTCGGCAGCGGATCGAACCCCGAACCATGTGCATGGTCGGCGAGAGTTCTAACCAGTGTGCCACCGACGCAGTTATACAGTAGCAGTCGCCAAAAATGACCACGAGAGAAATAACGTAAACAAATACGGACATTGTGTATCTTTCACCTTCAAAGACTGTTGATTCAGCCATCCACTGTTTAGGGTTACGAAATTGATTAGGCTGAGTTAAATTATATTTTAGGTGGGCTTGCAACCCAGGATTTATGGTGGTCAGAAAAACCCCATGAAGCAATACACACATTTAATTTTATAATTTATAATAATTAACGGGATTGTACACCACTCGTTGTTTCGGCACAACTGATCCAATAGTCCCAGAAACAAAATTTCCCTACACTTGATTACTCAACTGTCTAGATTTTAAATCACATTTTCGAAGATACTTGGCATCTAATTATACGAATGTGCATGAGAAGTTCCAGTGAGATACTAGGAACCCTCAAAAAAAATTGCTCATAAATACTCACCTGGACGTAACACATCTGTCAAACCTGGCGGCGATTTATACCACCAATTAACAAGTTTTAAGTTTCAATAACAAAGACGGCACGTTCACTAGCCTGTAATGCTATTTTTTGCAAGTTTGAAGTCTTTCTACAAATTCTTATGAACTTTTAAAATCAAAATTAGCATCTACTCCTACCCACAACCTCAGACGACATGGATCAGCTAGATTCCTTTGAGAGGACAAAGTAATGAGGCAACACCATGGAGGTGGGGCAGACATAAGTTGAACTGAAGTGAACTGATAACCGCTAGGTTATTCAAACATTTATTTGCCAAATGCCAAAGTAAACAGACAGACTATGTATGCAATTATTGTACTCCTAATGAAACTACCCACTGTGTAATTTATCATTGTGTAATTGCGTATTTTGCTCATTCTAACATTAAAAAACCTTATCCCTCTTTGCATCTCTAAGAATGGCTCTTTTTCACTCCCTTGGCAGTTTTCCTGAATCCATCAAGTGTTAGAAAAGGTCGCATAGGGGCCTACAGAGAGCTTTCGCGCTCTGTTTCTAAACAGATGGTTGATGTCATCACAACCATGGTACTTTTTAGATGTGTCTCTCGACTTCCCTAGTACTTTGGAGGGTTTATTTGAGACGTAGCCACAAGGTTTTCCTTCGGTTAAATAGTAGTGCCACCGTTTTTCCCATACCGGTAGTACCCACACTGCTGTTTAACCTTTTGGCAAAGGCCAAACTGAGTGTTTCAGCCACTTCCAAACAAGTGAGATACTGACCATCTGAACATTCTAGGGTGCGTGCCCGTATTTGGCTGATTTTTTCTCCGACATCAGTCAGTACAGGCTTGTGGGATTCGCCAGGAGATTTGGTTAAGGTTAGCCTGAATGATCTCCGGTCGCTTCTGACTCTCACGTTGCACCGGTTCTTAAGTATCAGGTACGCATCGTGGTTGGTCTGACTCTTCGATATTCTCCACGTAGACCAAGCCTTCCGCTTTGCTTACAGAATACGTCGCGTTATTCTCTTCAGCCATGATGACTACTTTTGCGGCCATGTTGTGACTTAAGGGACGGTATCCGAGATTACTTTGTGGTAATCTCTTTTACCACTTCCAAGTGTTCATCCACAGATAAATCATCCCACACTAAGGGCCATTCTGCGTCGGACAAGAGACTCCGCATTTCGGCATAGTCCGCTTTGTTATAGCACAGACATGTTTGCGTAGCGTCCTACTGTAAGTGCTCACGAAGAAGAAGTTCAAACACTATAATTACTTGATTACTACTAAGAATGTCATCATTTGGACGTTTTCAACAGTTACCTGGTCACTAGCTAGAACATAATCTGGTTTCAGTAACTTTCCACCACGGCTCCACCTAGCGTCGTCTCCAACATTCTCAGTCAGTCCTGTATTTCTAATGGTTTTTAGTAGATTTCGACTGGATTATCCCTGTGCACACTCCCAGCCAAGGTTCAGAGATGGGTCGCCTAAATCTCCAGCTATAGT